ATTTATGGATGTTTACAGAAATCTGTGAAAGAGAAGTGGCCAACAAATACAACAATGAGGACCAGGGTTGTGAGGTAAATTATTAGGTCATGAATTGAAAATTTGTATGTTGGGGGACCCCCCAGTTCCTCAAATTTGTTAAGAAAAAGAATAATAAACCTAATTTCCCTTGTTTCAGTGGGTTTGTCTTTCTGCGATTAATTTGCCCTGCAATTCTCAATCCAAGAATGTTCAACATAATTGCTGGTAAGAAAATATGAATTTGATTTACATGGTTTATTATTGTTTTATTGTAATCAAGTTTGGTTGATGCACAACTTCAAAATAATTCTGTAACTTCAATTATTCGATAATTCTTGGGCCTCTTTGTTTCAGATCCACCCTCCTCTACTGCTGGCCGAACCCTCACTCTGGTTGCTAAGTCTGTTCAAAACTTGGCAAATCTGGTTGAGTTTGGAGCCAAGGTATATTAAACTAATAAGGCATTTCATAGTACTGAATACCAGTGCAGATATGGTTTGTTAGTGCATTACTATCATTTGTTTCATTGGCTCATTTATCACAGGAGAATGTATTTCACCTCCTCAGGAACCGTATATGGAGGGGGTAAATCCATTCATCAAGAACAACAAGCATCGGATGATCATGTTTCTGGATGAACTGGGGGTGAGTATCTCTTATAGCTAGGTGATATAAAGTTACATGCAAAATTTGAATTGAACAAAATGGGGATAATACTCAGTCCTTGTGCACCCCTCCCCCCCCCCCAGTTCTGATTAGCGGTGCTGATCATTGTTGTCCACAGACACTAAAAAACAATCGGATTTCATTACTTGCTTTAAACCATGTAAAGCAATTGGTTTGAAAGCTTATGCTAAGCACTAACTGCATACCACCATTATAACCTCCATATATAACCTTCATATTCACTAATGATACCTTCACATACTGTATAAGGAGCTAAAAAATATACCAATATGTGTTTTTTTATTGTGCAGGAAATGTAGGCTAAATGGCTGAACTGAAAGCCAAATTCATAAATCTGTTATCCTGCTTTGTGTGTAGCTAAGTCTACTTCAACAAAGGAGTTAATCACCGGTTAGTCACTGTTAGGTATCAACACCAGTTTACTTGTCATATCACCCAACCTTAGTATCAATATCTATAAACATTATAGTAACTTCATAGTTCATTTATATAGGGCTGGGTGATTTTCACTGATACCCTGCTTCTTGTACATTTATATAGTCATTCATATACACTCACCTAAAGGATTATTAGGAACACCTGTTCAATTTCTCATTAATGCAATTATCTAATCAACCAATCACATGGCAGTT